TTGTTTTACAACGTCGTTGCCAAGCGACGAAAACCCAACCCCCATGGCAAACACCGGGAGGGGGGGAGGGCGGATATCAGGGGGTAGGTACAAAACCGCCAGCAATGTTTTGGCATTCCACCGCTGTGCAGGTTGCGCTCACCACATAGTCGAAAATCTGTTGGCCCTTTCGGAATTCTGTAACTTTGAAACGGTTTCATTTTTCGTGGTACAAAGACATCGAAACTTCAGCCCACGTCCCGTCCAACCGTGGCATACGAACGGGCACAAACAACTAGCCAAACACAACCACTATTTGGTTCGGTGAAAACAGACAGGTTACATCAATGCTCAGAAGGGGGCACCGGTCATGACGGCGCGGCCGTCATCGGAATCCCGTAGCAAACTGGCGCATACCCAATGATAAACGGCATCTTGCACTCAGCCCTAGATTGGGCTACTGCGTGCGCCAGAGTGTTTGCTGGCTTCCCTCTACCACCGTCGCTCGCCCCTCCCTTTGCCATAAACGCATCCAAAAGCGCCACGCTGAAGCGGTCGATATCCTTGTCGGTGACATCCCACAGATTGGCGACGACAGCAGGGCTGCCCCCCACCAAGTAGCTCGTCGCCATCCCCATCGGCTCGAAGTCACCGTAGCCCTTCAACCGGCCGCTGCTGCACCCCATCAGCACGGCCACCGGGCACCTCGCCAACCCCGCCACCGTATCCCTCCCCACCAGCATCTCCCCCGCTCCGTGTCCACTGTAAGCGAAGACATCCACTTCTTGGAGAGTCTGTGCCATGGTCTCCTCGGTCGGTGCTTCTCCCTCTACCCCCGACCACCCTAACCGCCGCCCAAGCCCCTGGAAAACCGGCCCCAGATGATGCCGGGTGTGCGCTAGGTTCGCCTCTGGGTCCAAGACGTAGTACCCTCTGTCCAGCCTAACCCCATCTCGTGACGGAATCCAAGCCTGCTCTAGATTGCTCGCTGGCGATGGTTCACCTTCGCTGCTGCTGCTGCTGCTTGGGTGTCTGGAGCTTGCCTCGGAGTTGTCATCCCCGTCCCACCTTGTCGCCAGCGCGGCGAAGACGAACGGAACCGCCGGGACACGGGTAACCGCATGACCGCGCAAGCACAGCAACCCCTCCCACGGGATAGCTTGGAGCTCCTCGTCCAACACCAGAACCACCGGGTGCCGCTCGGCCCGACCTCCGCCTCCTACCCTGCCGCCCGTCCCTTTACAGTCACCGTCACCGCCGACGTCACCGTTTGAGCCTGTCGCCGTTCGTCGAGCCGTTGCCGAGCTCCTCTTCGCGCTGCCCTTGCCCTTCACGGCCGGAGAACCGACTCTACTCGGCGTGGATGGCCTCAAGGCAACACTGCCAGCGAGGCAGCCAGTCTCCGCCCCTTGATGCTCCTCCTCTTCTCCCACCGCATTCTCAAGTCTGGCGAGCAGGTCGGTCTTCAGTTTCAGCCCCGTGATCGAGATACCTCTAGCTGACAACTCCCGGCGCAAGTCGGCCACTTTCATCTTCGACATGGCGACCCCGTCGATCAAAGGACTACCGGCAGCCGGAGCAGGACTGCGGGAGGCGGCCTGCACTGCTGCCCCGCGTTTGCCACCACTAGAACGACGACCGTTTTCGATGTCAAGACTCAATTTTGGGTCTCCCGCGAAAGCACCAGAAGGAACGGGCGAAGACGCATCCTTGTGGCTTCTTACCTCCCGCACCTCGGCCCTGAAAGCCTCCCGCACTCTCTCGTGAATCTCTCGAGAAATTTCCTCTGCCGCCGCGCCGTCCTTCTCAGCCCCCGGCATGGCCAGCCGCACTAACGCGAGCCACCCCTCCTTGCCCATCACCTCCCCGCCCCGCACGCACACGCGAATCAGCTCCGACAAACCGCTTGGTAGCCCGCCGTCCACCCGCCCGCCCCCAGCGGTCGCGCCCCCGCGGGGCCGCTTTCCTCCCTTCGCTCGCGGTAAACTCTTCCCTCCCCCCCCGGCGCCACGGGCTGCAAGCAGCCGACCCTCGGCAAACTCAACAACACGCTCCAACTCCGACCCCAACACTTCCTCGACGACATCGCCCAGAAGAACGGCTGCGAGGCCGTGGGCCCCCAGCCAGCGGTCCTCCAAATCGCGCAGCAAGTTGCCGACCATCTCATCCACGGCGACCCGCCGTTCCCACCACTTGGCCTTCTGCTGGTTCCCGTACTCCGCCGCCTCTTCAGCGCTGTGACCCCGGAGGGAATCCCGATTCTCCTCCATGATCTCTCGCCAACGCTCCAGAAGCCGGGTGTCGTCGGGCGATAGCGGAACGGACGCCGTCAGCGGCGGCTTCCCTCGAGCGAGGCGGGTGACCAGCAGGCGCTTGCACGCGCCTTCCCCTGGAGCCAGGCACAGGCTAACGATCGGCCACTCGGCCCGGAGGTCGGAAGTGACCGCGTCCTCGAGCAAGCCTTCCCCGCAGACGACTTCGGAGCCTTCCGAGGGGACACGAGGGGGGGGGGGG